GAAGTGAGTAAGATTAAGGCGATAAAAGTAGTAGTTCAGAAATTGGACTTTAGGGTCTCAGGAACCATCTCTGTGATCTTGGAAGAGTTATTAACTGTCTGATATTCAGTTAATGGAAACAATACCAGGACGCACCTCAGGGTTGCTGTAAGGATTACATGAGAACGAGCATGTGAAGTGCTTAGGCACAGTGTCTGACATAGCATGAGTTAATACTTGTCAGCCATTTTTCTGTTATTGTTATAATAAGAAAGCTCAGTCCCTGGACTTAAATAGAGAAGAATGCACAAATGATGTAGGCATTAATTCCAGTGGTAATTTAAAGAACCCTGAACTAGGGTAAGGCTTCTTGTTTGCCCAACCCAAATGGCAAGCTGAAGGGAAAATCAAGGAACCCATCCATGCCTTTCACCTGTCCCCAAAACACCCACCAGCTCACCTATCTTCTGGAATAGGGTAGGATATCCAGGAACATCAGTCACTCTTAGCTCTCCTGGAATACAGTAGATGTACTTAAAGAAAGAAAATACCGAAAAATATATATATATTGGAAAGTCCTACCAGGGTATATGAGTCTGAATTGAGCACTCGCGTGTGCGACTTACCTGGAATTCACCAGGTCCCAGTGATGGAGGAAGATTTTGAAATCTTCATTGCAGAAGGAGCCATGGGAGCCACCAATAACTGAGGACTCCATCTTGGTTTTCTGGCCTCTGAACCAAGGCCTTCTGGGATCCATAGAGAGCTGCCTCACAGTTTCTTCTTGCTAGTTGAAGGAAATATCTTCTAAGGAATTATGGAGAAAACAGCTATTTTTTTTCTGGCTGGAAGATTTATTCATCTTAAAAGGTAACTTTTATGCTGGGACAACTAGATATCCATATGCAAAAGAAAGAAGTAGGACCCCTACCTCATACTGTATGCAAAAATTAACTCAAAATGGATCATAAACCTAAATGTAAGTGCTAAAACTATAAAATTCATAGAAGAAAACATAGGAGTAAATCTTTGAGACTGTAGGTTAAGCAGTGGTTTCTTAGATTTGACATCAAAAGTGGAAGAGATAAAAGAAAAGATAGATAAATTAGACTTCATCAAAATTTAAAAATGTTTGTGTTTCAGAGAGTACCATCAAGAAAGTCAAGACTAAAAATACCTAGGAATAAATCTAACAAAACATGTGAAGGACCTATATAATGAAAACTATAAGACCCTATTAAATGGAAGAAGATACAAAGAAATGGAAAGATATTCCATGTTCTTGGATTGGAAGAATCAACATAGTTAAAATGACCTTATTACCTAAAGCATTATACAGATTTCATGCAATCCCCATCAAAATCTCATCAGCATTTTTTAGAGAAATAGAACAAAAAGCATCAGATTTGTATGGAAGCACAAAAGACCCCGAACTGCCAAAGCCATACTGAGAAAAAAGAATGAGGCTGGAGAAATATTCAAATTATACTACAGAATCGAGTTGCCTGGAGTAAACCCATGTTTATATGGGCAAATAATTTTTGACAAAAAAGCCAAAAACATACAGTGGATAAAGGAAAGCCTCTTCAATAAATGGTGCTGGGAAAACTGGAAAGCCACCTGCAAAAGAATGAAACTAGATTGTTGTCTTTCATCACACACCAAAATTAACTCAAAATGGATCAAGGATTTGAATATAAGACCTGAAACAATAAAGTGCAGAGAAGGAAACATAGGAACTAAACTCATAGACCTTGGACTTAAAGAGGATTTTATGAATTTGACCTCAAAGGCAAAAATAAGTGAATGAGAGTACATCAAACTAAAAAGCTTCTGCACAGCAGAAGAAACCATCAACAACATAAAGAGACAACCATCCAAATGGGAAAATATATTTGCAAGCAACACCTCCGATAAGGGCCTAATATCCAAAATATACAAAGTACCAAAAAAATAAATTAATTAAAAAAAAAAAAAGTCAAGACTACACACAGAATAAGTTGAAATATTGCAAATCACATATTTGATAAGGGGCTTAAATCCACAATGGATAAAGAAATTTTACAACTCAACAGTAAAAAGACAAATACTCCAGTTTAAAAATGGCAAAGGATTTGAGTAGGTATTTCCCTAAAGAAGATATACAAATGGCCGATAAGCACATGAGAAAGATGTTCAACATTATTATTAGGGAAATGAAAATCAAAACCACAATGAGATTGTATCCAAGACATTTCATTGTATCCAGGATGACTAAAATAAAAAGGACAGACAATAACAAATTAGGGAGGATGTGGACATATTGAAACTCTCATACATTGCTGGTGGAATTGTAAAATAGTGCAGCCACTTTGAAAAACAGTTTGGGAGTTTCTCAAAATGTTAAATATAGAGTTAATCATGTGACAGCAAATTTACTCCTAGGAATATACTCAAGAGAAATGAAAACTTATATCCACATAAAAATTTGCACATGAATGTTCACAGCGGCATCATTCATGATAGCCCCATAGAGGAAACAGCCCAAGTGTCAATTCACTGATGAATGGTTAAACAAATATGGTTTATTAATACAATGGAATGTTACTTAGCCACAAAAGGAATGATGTGCTGATTCATGCAATGACATAGATGAAACTTGAAAACATTATGCTAACTGAAAGAAGCCAGTCACAGAAAAACCATATATTGTGTGATTCAATTTATATGAAATGTCCAGAAGAGGTAAATCCATAGAGATAGAAAGTAGATTTGTGGTTGGCTAGAATTGGGGGAAGGGATACAGAGTAAGGGATGGCTGCTAAGGGTTATGGGGTTCCTTTTGGGGGATGATGAAAATGTTCCAAAATTAGATAGTGGTAATAGGTATACAGTTTTGAATATACTAAAAACCATCGAATTGTATACTTTAAATGAGAGGATTTTATGGTATGTGAATTAGATCTCAAAAAATGCATTATTTTGGAAAAAATGACTGTTAGTCCTTGAAGAAGCCATTGGAGACTTCTCTTTAGTTAATGCCAATTTCATTTCTTACCTGAGTACAGATAAATTGGGGGTCTGGTTGAAACTAGTCTTTTCTGTGGCCCACCTTTTACCGCACAGTTCAGTTTTTCCAAGTTTACCAAGTTGTCTTCTGATTCCAGGCCCAAGCACTGCCCTTTTCTTTATTGAGATCACCTAGTTTCCTGCTACCATCCTTCACATGTTGGCCATCCCTGGCTCCCAAGACAGCGTTTTCTTACCGCCATTCTATTGAATTGTGTTGGTTTGTTTCTTTGGTGCTGTATACTGCACTATGCTGTTCGCTCCCTGAGATACTGGTTTTGTTCACCATTACATGCCAACATAGTCTTGGTTATCATTGAATGAATGAATGAATGAATATATGCCTGAGAAATAACAAGTATATATATATGGAGTGGAAAGATATGGAGGATAGAAAGGATAGCGAAAAAAAGAGGAAGATTCGGACTAAAGTTATTTACCATGTACCCATTTTTTTCCATTTCCCGAGAAATATGGATTTCTCAGCCCTACAGCCATGTTGACCATTTGAGCCTCCGATTCTCGAATGACTTCTTAGTTTCCTGTGAATCAAACCAAAACATTTGGCCTTTCAAAGAACACCCAAAACCTTGCTTTTCTACTCTTTGGCTCAGAAATCCCAAGTTGGGAATCTAGCCAAAGAAACTAACAAATGCAGGTACCTGAATACAGAGTGAGCTCTAGAAATGCATGTACAGTTACTGATCTGGCATTATTTGTGATAGTCAAAAACTTCAAACAAATGTTCAACAGTAGAGTAGTACACATCATGCCTTGTCCCAAAGATGAACTAAAATGCACCCATTAGAAGAATTTAGTGACCTGAGAATATGTGTGTTTCATATGTTAAGTGAAAAAAGCAGGTTATAAACTGGTGAGTAGGTTTTAAAGTGATGGCTAATATGTAAACTGTGCCCAGAAAAAAATGCACCAGAATTACTTTTTGTGGTGAGATTATAAGTGTCTTTCTCATTTTTTTTAATGTATCCAGGTGTTCTACAATGAATATATATATATACACACACACACACACACACACACACACACACACACACACACATACATATACATATATGACTTTTATAACTAGAGAGGAAAAAAATCCCCCAATTCCCTTTCCACTGCTCTCAGGGAATTCATTGTACACCTGCTTTGTCCAGTCAACCCACATCCACTTCCAATCCTCATCCTGAGTTGTGCCCTCAGCTTACAAGGACCAGTACCTTGCCAGGTGCTCCTTCTGGCCACAAGGCAGCCCCTGGAGGTGCACCCCTCCAGAAAGCCTTTCCAGATCACCAGAAAAGGCTGGAAAAGGCTGGCTCATCCCCACAGTGCTCCCACTTCTCTCTTTGCTTGCGTTGTCCAAGAAAATCCCCAGCTTCTTGGCTGGTGCTTGACCTAAAGGGACTGTTTCCTGATGCAGCCCAGCAACTGGTACAGTCAGGCCTGTGTTCACCTGGCTGCTGAGTCTCGACTCCTAGAAGGAAGTTGGTGTTGAGGCCTCAGGTCTCTCACCACTGTTGGATGACAAAGAAGGTGGTGATGACTTTTGTCTGTCTGCATGTCCTGATTTGCATGGGAAAGACTTCTCATTTAAAAACCACCCAAACAGTCTTAAAACAACTTAGGAGATGATCAAAGGTGTTTGTATTTAACCTGGACCAGCAACCTTCTTAATGGAGTCAGCCAGACAGCAGTAACTTTGGTTGGGAGGAAGTGAGCATGAGCCATTACAATGCTAATGTAGTTCAAATGCATTTAGACTTTTTTGTGTGAGTTGATTTGTCCATGTATATATATCCAGCCTATTTCAGAATTATAATCGACTTAGAATAACCCTTGAAGGAAAAAGTTAGTGTATCAGCGAACATTTGAGGGCTTACCGTGTACCTGATGCTTGCATCTTAGAATACTTGTGAAATGTTGTGGCTTTATCAAAGCAATAAACAAATCTGGACTGATTTTTCCTGCAGAACTTCCTGGTCATGTATTCCACCCACATGAAGCATAACAAGGAAGGCTTGAGGATAAGATGGATTGCCTTGTGATGCCTTAAGAGGCGCTCGCGTCTTAGCTCCCGTGGCATTTTGAGCTCATTACCCTGGGCTGTGTGTGAAATGTGATGGAATTAAGGACCAAGATAAATCGGATATCCTGGCATCGACCTTTGCTGTTTCTGAAACTGAGAAAAAAAGATTTGGTGTGCCAAGTTTCCTCATCAGTCTGGTATTTCACCTCTCATTTTAAATAAGGTAAACAAACCACAGACCTATTTTTCTTCCATGCAGAACTGCACCCTTTTTCATGATTAGGTCTAGGTACTATTTGGCAATTGGAATTGAGTAGAATGGAGGTGGGGAAGCATTTTTTAATTCCATAGCTCTTCTCAAATATTTAAAGTAGAATAATGAGCGAGTGACTGTCACATTTGTCACAACTCTTTTCCATTCTGGCCACCTGAATGCTGACCTCAATCACACTTTTCTTAGACCACCATAGTTGAGATTTCTTCCTGATGCCTCTTGTCAAGGCTGGAGGTGCTGGGATCCCTGAAGGAGATTCTGAGAAAGAGTAGATAGGCTTCATTCTGCCATCTCCAGGTTCAAGTTTTGTTCAAGGGGATCTATAAGCCAAGGTGAAATGGAAATGCTATTGCTAGATGGTAGAGGTTTCGAGGGACCAACAGGAGAAGAGAGAGAGGAGAGACCAGGGATGACAGGAGAGAGGAACCTTTGTGGAAATTCTGTGTGCTGTCATTGGGTTCTATGTGAACTGTCTTCCTCATCTTTCCAGGAGATCTTCAGTAGAAAATATCCATTTCTTGTTGGTACATTATCCAGTTGAATCTCTTTGTTGAGGGAATTCATTCATTCAACAAATATTTATTGAAAGCCTGCACCCACCAGGCAGTATTTTAGGTGCTCAGGATAAAGTAATGAATAAAACATACCGAACATGGAACAACTTGGATGAATCTTCAAGGAATTCTGCTATATGAAAAGAGCCAGGGAAATCTAAATAGTTTGTGGATTGAATCAATGTCAACATCCTGTTTATGATATTGTACTAAAATATTACCATTGGGGGAAACTGTGTAAAGTCCATGTAGGATCTCTTGTATTACTTCTTAGAACTGCACTTGAATCTACAATTTTACCAAAATTTTAAATTAAAAAAGAAAAAACCTCCTGACCTGATGGAACTTACATTTTAATGGAATGGCTTCAGGGTGGCTGCAGGGCAAAAGCCAAGACCATCTGCTCCTTCTGGAGTATTTCATGTGCTGTCACTAGAGATTTCTTCCTGTCCCCGAAGCATGACATTGAATCACCACTAGTGACTGAATAAAATCTAGACTCTAGACTCCAGAGGAGGCAGGTCCAATAAAGGTAGAATCCCAGCCCCTCCTCCCAACCCCATAACATGGATACCTGGGAATTGTCCAGCCTGCCTAAATTGTCCAGGCACCAGGTGCCCACTAGATATAAAGGCAACACTCAGATGTTCACGGGGCTCTGAATACTCACATGGGACCCTACTTAGCTTGCTTCCAGCGTCTTCCATCCCCACCACCAAGCTCCTTCCACCTCTGCCCCAAATGCCTGGTCTATCTTGGCAGCACAATCATCATGGAGAACTTTCTTTCCTGTACAGACACAGATGTGGCTTGCTGTCCTGGTTCTCAGCATAAGGCAAGAACTCCTCTTGCCAGCCCTGGCCTGGGACTCAATCCTGGATTCTAGCCCCACAACTATGGCCAGTCAAGTCAGTGTCCAGTCCCTTAACTGCTCCTGCAAAGGAAGATTCCTGCACCAATCTATTGAACCTTTAGTTGTCCAATGAGCCATCTAGCTAGCTACCAACCATCTAGCTGGGCCACTCTATTTTATTGCCTTAGAAGAACTTCAGAGGAAAGAAGCCATGTAAAAATAAAGTCTGAACAGACTTTAAAGTTTTTATTATTTTGTATTATGCCATGCTTTGCATGTAATGACCACAAAGCGACATGCCTTCCTGGCCACATAATTTATTAATAGGGCATGGTTGAGAAAGCTAGAATTCCAAGACATACAATCTAGTCCACTGGAAAGAAGGAAGAGAGGGAAGGGAGAGGAGGGGTGGGAGGAAGGAGCAATGATAAATATTTATCTGTCTCTTTAATATGTCAATGGTTGCTCATTCTAAGAACAATTTCTGATTCATGGATATGGTCTTTATAGGAAAGGGGCTTTCTTAGAAGTGCTAGAGCTGATCAATAAGTACTTGATTGACTTTCAAATAAGGTTTTTATAGCCAAAATCAAATGAAAGAAAAGATACTGATAAACTCTCTCCATATCTTTGTCTCAAAGCAAACACTGAAAGAATAAGCACAAAAAGAAATAAAGAACCTCCCCTCCACCCAGGGAGGGATCGAACCTTGGGTCCTGTGGGAGCCTGCCAGTGGGGCTGTTCTTCCCAGGGCCTCAAGCCCGTCTTGTCTCTGAGACCACATGGCAGTCTGAAGCACTGTCCTGGACTTCCTGGGAAGGGGCCTGCTTCCCTGAGTCGAAGTCTGTATCTGGGATGAACATCCCATGGAGATCCAGGTGTACCTCCACATCAACATATGCGCGAGCCTGTTCTGTAAAACTTTTGGCATCCAGAATAAGCAGAAACGGTGGCTTTTGGGGATCCGAAGAGATAACGACTGATAAGATAATTCCTTTGGGGAAACAAAAAAGAGACACTTTGTAAAAGTTCAGCTTTGAACCTACTCCAGCTGGAAGGATAAGTTCCTCAGCTGTCTCTCTGTCCTCTTTGAACGTAAGTACCTAATCAAACAGAAGGGAAGTGAATTTGATATTCTCTGTGAGCAGAAGGGAAAGGCCAGGGAACTAGAAATCAGCAGACCTGCTTCCAGCCCTGGCTGGGCCAGTCCCTTTACCTCTGTGAACCTCAGTCTCTTCATCTGTAGAGTGGAGATAATGTTCCCTACCTTCATAGGGTTGCTGGGCCAATATCTTGCATGGCGAGTTATAAAAGTACTTTGTAAATTATTGCAAGCACTGAAGAATGGCTATTTTCCTTCTATTTGGAGACTCTAATTATATAATCAGTTTCGATGCTGCAATTAAGCTAATATATGTCACTCAGCTAAAGTCAGACTAGTTGTGCTCAAATGGCATTTGCAGACGAGATTGGGCACGTTAGGGTGGTATGGCCAAAGACTCAAATGGCATCTGAATGAGCCCAGTTCACCTTATGCATGTGCAGCACGCAGCAGCCTCAGCTTTGTCCTCTGTAAAATGGAAACGTTCTTCACACTCACTCTCAAGAAATAGAAGGTTAAATGAAATAATGCACATAAATTTCCAGCAAACATCTGTGCTTTTTCCCAAGGCCTCCCAGGTATCAGAGTGGCTGAGCATAATTGAAGTCAGATCGGCTTGGATTCAAATCCTACCTCTCTAGGCAGTGGGCGTGTGACCCTGGGCAAGTTACTTCATTCTCTGAGGCTCTCCTTTGATGAAATGTTGAAAACGCTACTCACTGCCCAGGGGAATGTACGAGATACACGTGCAGTCCAGTGGAAGGCGGACCTCAGAAGGAGGTAGCACCAACAATCCCCCACTTTGGAGATGACAATGTCACTGGGTTCCCCACCTGGTGCTGTGCCATGCATGATCAGTAGGTAAAAAGCCATTTCCTTCTCACCTGAGGGAAACAGCTGGCAGGCTTGTGGGGGGCGGGGGAGCCCCACCCATGGTTCTTGTTACCCTCCTTAGCACCCCCAAGGATATGGGCAGGGCATTTCTGGGTCAAAGGCAGAATCAAGAAGGAAAAGGACCATTTGGTCATGTGGAAACCCAGAAAAGAGAGGTGAGCCACAAGTACACATTTCCAGGTGCTACACAAATAAGTTACACGCTTAGATAGTGGAGAACTCTGACCCAGCCATGAAAATGAATTTTAAAACTAAGATATACTCTGGTAGAGAGGGGTGTTATCAGTTGGAAGGAAGTAGGCTTCTGTGTAGTAAACAACTTAATCTCCTTGAAGGGAGATCTGTCCTTTGCTGCTAGCAAGTGACCCCTAAGCCCTGGGAATGCCTGATAAGAGTGTCTTTGTTTACCTGGGGCCAGCTAGATAACCTGTCCCCTCACAAAGTGATTCAGATGGGGTCTCTGGATCATAGTGAGTCAGCTTGACCTCTAGAGAGGTTGAAGACTAAAGGTCAACCATGGCTACATGACTAAGCCCCCAAACAGGCTCTGACATCAGGGCTCAGGTGTCAGCAACTTGGGTAGTTTCCCTGGTTGGTTTGGGAGAAGGTGGTGTGGTCCACGACTCCCCTGGATGAGGATAACTGGCAGCTCACTCATGGAACTCTCCTGGATGTTGTCTCATGCACATCTTTCAATCTGCATCCTTTCACTGTGATAAACTGCAACCAGGAGTATAACAGTTTTCAGTGTGTTCTGTGAGTCCTATCGAAACCGAGGGTGGTCTTGGGGACCACTGAACTTGCAGTTGATGTCAGAAGTAAGAGTAGTCTTGAGAACTCCCTAACTCTGCAGCTTTGGACTCAGACAGACCTAGGTTTCAAAGCATGGCTCCACCAGCTGTGTAATGTGGGCAGGGTCACTGCTCCCAATGATCTCTGTTTGAGGGGTAATCACAGAGTGCAGTGGGCAGGCTCCCCTTCCCAGAGTCTTACCATCATCCTCGTCTTCAGCACCTGGCGTGGGCACAAACAGGGGTTCTGCCAGCCAGCAGTCATCTTCTTCCCATTGTAAGGACGATTTTGTGAGAATGTCATATTTTAGTATCTGTACATCCAAAGAGGAGAAATATGGGGATGACTTGAAAAGCACGCTTATTCTCTGTGAATACGAAGGCATCGAGGCCCACAGAGAGAGGAGATTAAGCCCCTCCAATGTAGACTCCAAAATAACATCTACCTCTGGTCAGCATAACAACAGAAAAGAAAGCAGTGAGCTTCCTCTTCCAACTTTAAGCGAAGGTCCTCCTGACACCATATAGCTGATACCACATATTGAATTCTTTTCAAAATAAAAATCCTGAATCTATGTGGTATTTGGCATTACACTGCAATTTTTATGTGTATTAAATAAACTAATGTATTCAATGCAAACATTTAAAGTACAATACAATTCCTTTGTTGCTTTAAAAGTACAGGTCCCTGGACTTTTCTGAATCTCCAAGGATCCTGTTTCCCCTTAGGGTGTGAGATTAGTGGGGAGTGACTTGGGGTGTGTGAATGTGTGTGTTAGAAACTTAATTTTCTTACTTTGTGCATTTCTGTAGTTTACATTTCAAAAAAGATTTTCCATTTTATTGTTAAAAAAATGAAGCTTTTAAGGAAAAGTGATGTCTGTATAGCTTAGCATAGTCCGTGGGATACAGCAAGCATTCCACAGGTAATAGTTTTAAAAAAATGAATCCCCCAAGTTTCGGCTGTATGTTCGTGGCTTGAAAGGGCGAGTTCCTTAAGGGCAGGGAATAGGATCCCCCTTTTCACTTCCTTATCCTTATCCAACTATGCAGCACATAGTTGGTGCTCAATAACCATGTATGAAATAAATCAATGGATAAACTCCAGCCATGATTTCTCTTCTTGAGCTTCAGTCCACTGGGTACGGCTCCCTCTTTTGCATGGCTCATCATTGTTTCAGATGTATTTTGTCCCAAACTGACCTCACTCTCTGACCTATCTCCTGTGCCCCAGGGGAACTCCTTCCTGCCCTCCCTCTTGTCACCCACTCTGGGAATCTGAGAATTCAGCTTTGCAGACAGACACGATTATTGTAGGCTGTGATCCCACAGGGATCAATACCTTGGTTGGGATGGGACTCCATTCAACTTTAGCAGCAAAGACATATCGATATCGCTTCCCGTTGTGAGCATAATTGATCCGAGGCAGCTCTACGCCTAGAAAGAATGACAGCTGATGAAGTCCCCATCACTGAGGGCTCAAGCATCTGCCCTTCATGCCAGGCTGGGCATCCTGTCCACAAAAACAGCTTCCAGGTCAGGATCCCTGAACTTGATTTAGGCCCTGGATTAGATCAGGGTGGTCATAGGGCAAGGGGAGGGAATCTCTGATAATTACCCCAGCTCCATTAGAAGATTCAGGAGCAAGGTAAGACAGACCTGGTTTTTAAGTATATAAACATCTTTAATTATCCAAGATAGAAATCAAATATAATTGCATGATTAAAATCAGAGGCTACTGCAATTTTTTAAAGCTCTTAAAGAAAAGTACTCATGTGTACACACATGAGTGTGTGGGTGTGAAAAGAAACTTCTGAATCCATGGAAAGGAGTGTCAATAGGAAATAGTTAAATCTGTGAATTCATATAATAGCATTATGTAAAAATATTTACAAAGAATTTTAATAACATGGAAAAGTGTCCATATCATAAGATTAAATGTAAAAGGCTGATTATAAAATTACCTCCACTATGTTAAAAATGAAAAAGTTTAGAAGCATTCTAGGGTGGTAACTTCCTTATAGTTTATAGTTTATATTGTACATTCTAAGTTTCTCATTGTGTGAAATTTTCATTATATTTATTCCTTTTATAATCCAAAAACCTTAAAATTTTGTTCATGTAAATGCATATATATTTATATATGCCTGTTGTGTCAAATTAAATTTCTAAGTCTAAATACCAAATTGAAAGTCCCCCTCCTATGAAATATGCCAGGTAGTTGGAGCCAACTGCCGATGAAAATATAATGTCCAAGAAAAGAGGAAGCAGGGATGGACACACCTGCCACATAAAGGCCTCATGAGAAGAACCCAAGGCATAAATGATAATCAGGCTCAGTGAGGAGTGAAAGGGAATAGATTATTGAGATGGGAAGATATCTAATTTAACAGGTGAGTAATCATGAAACTTCCAAGAGACAGATCAAGATGAACATGAGGAGGGCCCACCCACATACTTAAATCTGAAATGAATACCCACAGTTGGTCCCAAAGTAGACCTGAGACTTTCCATGACGTTCCTGGGCCTCTCAAACCTGTTCTGAGACCCCCAACCCTTTCTCTTATCCTGCAAATGGCCATCCATAGGCGTTTGGTTATGTAAAGTAAGATTCATGCCAGCATGGCTATTAAAGCCACATTCTTGAAGAATCTTCAGGATGTGGGAAAATTCTCATGCTATATTCATTAAGTGGAAAAGGCCATTTCAGAACATTATAGATGGTATGGTACACATTTGGTAAAAGTATAAATGCAGAGGTTGAAGGTTTTCAAGTTAGAGACACCTGGATTCAGATTCTGGCTTTGCTGCCTATCTTTGGGCAAGTTACTGAATTCTCAGCTTTGCTGTCCTCGGTTCTAAAACAAGAATAATACGTGCCAGTACCTGTCTGTTAGAGTTGTTCTAATAACGGCTAAATTTTGCTGGACTCTCACTACGGGCCAGGCCCTAAGCTAAGCCCTTTATGTATATGAACTCATCTAATGTGAATGATAACAGGATGACACTGCCAGGGTGGAAGGAGAGCGTGTCTGAGCGGCCCCTAGAAGAGGGCCTGGCATATGCTAAGCAATCCCTACACAATAGAAAAGACTGGATGAGTATTTCCAAGGGTTGTTATGGGTGGAGGGATTTGTCTATGGTCATACTCTTCAATATTGCCCAAGACTGCTACAATAAACAGGTATTCTCAGAAACAAAAAGACTATAATGTTTTAAGCCTCCCTCTGCCCACATGTGGCGAGTGAGAGGAAATGGAAGTTGATGCCTTAATCAGGAACAAGATCTATATTTTCACTTCTAAAGATTCCAAGAGGCTGTGATGCCACACAGAACTTGTTACAGAAACCATAGGATGCTGTTTACAGAAATGGTTCTTAGTGGGCAAATCTGAGGCCATCCTAGGAGAGTCCCCAGGACTATACCGTTCCAGATGCCTAAACCTAACGTGGGGCAACCAACGTGAAGAGCAAAACTCTGAGTTTCAGAGCCACGCCCTGCCTCTCTTTGAGTGTCCTGGGCAAGCCTGTTCATTTCACACTTAAGTGTTGAGCTCAGACCTGGCTAAGCCAGACTGAAACAAACTGAGCACAGAAACATGGTCCCCGCCCCTTGGGCTTATTATATTCCAGAGCAGTGGTTCTCAATCAGGGAGATGGTGCCCCCCATGGCAATGTCTGGATGCGTTTTTAGCTGTTCCAATTCAGGGTGGGGGTGCTACTGGCATCTGGTAGGTAGGTCAAGGCCAGGGATGCTGCTCAACATCCTGCAACGCACAGGATGGCCCCACCCCAAAGAATGAGCGGCCTAGGTATCAGCAGTGGCACGTTGAGAAGCTTTGCTCCAGTGGATGTGACTTCTATTCGAGGGAGTTTACACCGTATGTGTAACTGAATCTTTTGGAGGCCTGGTTTTCTCCTCTGTAAAATGGACTGATAGCACCTATTCTGCAGGATATTGTGAGTGTATAGAGGTACAAATATGAACATGCTGTGCTTGTTCAGTAAGTCAGCGTTCAATACATTGCAGCATTTGTAGAGGACAGCCGTGAAAGTCATCAGGCCCAATGACCACCAGTGCCTTCCTTTGAGCTGTTTGAAGTATGTGAAAGACAACTGTCCCCAAATGCTTTTCATTGGGGTGTCCCAAGAGCCTTCCTCTTTGTATCTTATCCAAGTGTAGCTCCTCTGCATTGGAAGGAGGTATTACATAGAGGCCCGGGGATCTTCATGAAATCCTGCCCTTCCCTAAACACAGGGTGAGAGGATGCATTTACCTTCATAAAGCATCTCTGGCTGGCAGTAGACTTGGTCATCATTTTCCTTCAGGGCTCTTGCTGTTGTAGATGCTAGTTTGATTAAATTTGAACCCACTTCTGCATTCTGAAAGAATCAGTTTTCCAAAAAAAGAAAACTTGTTATGCAGAACAAACATCTGTTTTACTGTGTACATTAAAAAAAATGCTCTGGCCTCACATTACTCACAGAAAGCAGCTATTATACTATTGGGCTTCCAGGTTAAAAGTGAGGATTGGCGATTTGAAGTGACATCCCCAAGGTTGCATAGCTGGGAGATGGTAGGATTGGGGCCCCTAAAACCATGGCTCTTTTTTCCTACTCTGGGCTGCCTTATCTCTCACAGGTGAAATTAACATACTTATAAGTTCTCACTTTTTAAATACTGGATGATTCACCTGTAAAAAGTTGCATCAGTCATTAAAAGGATGTTTATAAAGAGTTCATAATAACATGAATGCTCATGTTAGAATACCGAGAGAAAAAAGCAGTAGAGTAAATTGCATATGCAGTCAGAGCTGAACCAAGTTAAAAAATTTACATTAAAAAGAACCTGGAAGAAATATACCAAATACTAACAGTATAGTGGGTGGGAGCATTATGGGGACTTTAATTTCTTTTTCCATGCTTATCTGTATCTTCAGTATTTTCCTAAGAAAATGCATCACTGCTAAAAAGAAAACAAATATTCAATAAAATATACTTGGGAGAAAGATATCTATCAAGAACATTCCTTGGTCTCAAATTACAATCAGACTTTGCTCTGTTCAGTATCTTACTGCCATCATTATAACCTAGGAGAGGGATTTCACACAATTTATTAAATATTTCCTGAGCATCTACTATTACTCCCTGTTTCCTCACATACTATCTATAAGACCTTGAGCAAGTTACTTAGCATCTCTGAGGTTCAGTGTCCTTACCTGTATAATGAGGTATATTATATGTATTGTATGTCTCTGAATTATTGTGCAGATTAAATAAAATAATCCATGCAAATGACTTACAAAAAAGGAAGTGCTAGACAAATGTTACTTGCTGTTGATGATATATCATTGTTGTATTACTGCTGCTGCTGCTACTACTACTACTACTACAACATTACTGCCACTACTTCTGGGGATGAGTTGAAATTAGGCACTGATCAGAGAATGAGAAACAAGACCACAAGTCTCCGCCTTCATGGAGTTTATGGGGGAGAATTATTGTTATGGCTGACTTCTCATTTAAACTTTTGTCTACTTTCCAAATTTTCCAAAATGGGCTTTAATAATTAAAACAAGACTATTTGAACAATAGCTGCTTTTTGCTGGGAAGGGGAGAAAATTTACTGCATTTTAGCTGTTGAACTGTAGAGGCCCTTCGAGATTTTAGTTCAAACCCTCAGTTTACAGAAGTGGAAACTGATGCACAAAGAAGGAGAGTGGCTTGTCCAAGGTCACACAGAGAGAAGCGGGGCCTGGGCCCAGACCCTCACGTGGCGATTTTCCTGCTCGGAAGCAAGAGCATTGCAAGTGGAGGACAAAGCAGGTACAAAGGCCCTGAGGTGGCCCATTCCTATCCTGCAGGTCTCAACTCAAACATCTCCTTCCTTAACAACTCAGTCTGCAGGGTCTCCAAGGTATTTGTCCCAAGCTGTAATTATCTCCTGTAATGGAAGGCTTCCTTCTTTTATGCTTGTCTTCCCCTATAAGGACAGGGTCCAGTTTTTTGTTCAGTGCATGGCACATAGCTCCCACAAAGTAATTGCTGAATAAATGAGCGAATGCATGACTCAGCAAGCTTTTAACTGTTAAGGAGCAAAACATGTTCTGCGGGGTGGTTGTATGAATTAAAGGAGACGAGGTGCATGGAAAAGTCACCCAGTGCCTGGCATCTCTGCGGTGTCTTATAACCAGAAACTCTGACTGCCTCCACGTGCCCAGCACCACAGATTGGTGTGAGGCCCCTCCTGGTGCCTTGCTAGTCACGTGATGGCAACAGGCTTCTTGTGCATGTCCCGGGCTTGATTCTTAGGGAGTAGATCTGCAGAGATGTCTTATAACTCCAGCCTGAAACTGGTCAGACTGGTTGAAGGATAAACTGAATTTTTCCATAGACACAGCAGTTATGAACATGACTCGGCTGCTTTCAGTGGCCACCATGCTCGCTGGCTTTGGGAAGAAATTGCTTTCCAGCCAGAATTTAACAAAGTCTTGCAGGCTTGCTTTGAAATCCCTAAACTCGAGGGAACTTTCATGAGAAGCAATAATCTTAGTAATCCCCCTAAAACCTGGTTTTGGAGTTAGCAGCCCTGGGCGTGAAATCTGACTCTATAGCTTTCTCTGTGAACTTGTTCGGCCTCCCTGAGCCTAGTTCCTTGTTTGTAAAACGGAGGCAGTTCATAACTTTTGGATGGATGGTGAGTATAAGTGAGGTTGCTTCAACCTGCATCTGAGGATTATGGTTAGGATTAAACTTATTAATGGTTATGAAAACACCCGGTTTAGGGCCAGACCCATTGTAATTAGTAAGTTGGAGCCAGGTAGACATGCATTCAAATCCTGATAATTCTACAATATTGGGCAAGTGACTTTCTCATCTGTAGTCACAGAAATAATAAATCACTCAGAGGGCCGTCATGTGGACTAGGTGAGAAGCATGTGAAGTATTTAACTGTTCCTAAAAATTTGCAGGACCCTGGATAAGAGTGGAGACCCACCAAACCTAGGTCTAAATATAGTAAACTGTTAAGTAAAATACCTTCCTCTCCTCTACCCTGACGTACAGACCTTCATAAAGCTGTGGAACTACACTGTCTGATACAAATTTAAATTTAAATTTAAATTAAGTAAAATTTAAAATTCAGGTCCTCAGTCTCACTAGCCATATTGCAATAGCACTTGTGGCTAGTGGCTTCTATGCTGGACAGACAGAGAGAGGATGTTTCATCATCGCAGCAGGTTCTCTTGCACATTGCTGGTCTGGAAGGAAGAGTGTGAATTTAGAATTCTAGGACCCCTTGGCTGGAATAGCGGGGCAGAACAAGGGCCAGCCTCTGGGTCTGGGCTCCCTGTCCCTGCCCCTTTTCTTCCCACTACATGGATACCATACCTCAGTCAACACAACCAAGCCAACAGCCAGCCCTGGCTACCTCATGGGCCCTGAAGAGGACAGGGGCAGGCACTGCAAGCAGGCTTGGGGCTATTTGGGCAGGGAATTCAGTCATCCCAGGTAGCTGGTTCATGGCTGGGGTTGGGGAGGGTGCCCCTCTGGGTGGGCATGACCCCATCACCCTGTGAAGAAGGGACTCCTCACTCTGTGGAGAAGGTACACTGTTGGAGAAAGGCCAGATCAGGGTCCCCAAAGTGCCAAGACCAGAGCAAGGGCCCATACTGCCAGGGTCTAAGAGCAGAAAAGGTCAGATAACACAGGGCCTGACACATATGAACTCTCATGGTGGCTGCTTTTATCATACTGGGACATTTTTGCATTTGGAGACAAGATAAAAACCAAATCTACTGAGCTGGGAGTTGAAGCTACCCTTTCTAGGTCCAACGTGCATATCGCCTCACACTCCCCTCCCATGATGGCCTCCTATGTGTAAATGGCTGTCATGAGGGGAGGCAGTGCTTATGAACCCACTTGCAGGACAAGGGCAGGGCACTGGCAGGACTGTCTGCACACGCCCACATCCCTCCCAGCCCAGCCCAGCCCTACCTTTGACAACCCCCGCGCCACCCTACATAAACAGGCTGAGGGTGCCAAGAGGCCCCTCCTTCCTTTGACCCCAGCTGGCCAGAACACAAGAGAATCTGGGGCAGCTGCGAGGTCCCAGACTTTTGAATATATTTCATTTTTGCTCATTCTACATGGAAAACACTTTCCATTGAGGAAATATTCCAATGCTAAAGGAAGACCTTGTATCTTTTTGGAGACTGTTTCATGTTTTCATTTATTCATCATTCATTCATTCGCTGAAAGTATTTAAGAGCTTAATGAGGAGTCTCTGAGTACCAGACACTATGATGAGTGCAGGGGATAAAATGCTGACAAGACAAAGAGTTCTGGCCCTCCCTCTCAGAGCTTCAATAGGAAGAGGTGACTGAAGAAGTTCCTTATACTTGAGATAAATGATGGGCAAAGAGCTGCAGGTGCCATTAGAGTATACGAACTCATCTGAGGGGAGTAGTAATGTTGAGACCTGAAGGATGAGCAGAAATTTGCTCCCTGGATGTGAATTAGAATTTGCTGGGGGCTCTGAGACCATGTCCACACTGGGTCTCACCCCAAGGTTCTGCCTTCACTGGTCTGGGATGAGGCCCGGCAAGCACTGACATGGTCTCAGAGCCCCCAGGTAAATCTTCCTGCAGCCAGGACTGAAGTAGAGGTCTGATGGGAAGAGAACAAGGTTGCAGGCCAAGGGACTGGGATGTGCAAAGGCCCCAGGCTAAAAATGATTTTAGAAAGGGTGGCATCTCCAGCAGTTCTTCCCTTATAAGCCTTTGGATAGGATGAAATTAGAGCTGCCGGATCTGGGCATATAGGCCATGTCCGCCTGCTTGATTTTCTGACTTCAATATGCAGGCGGGGCGACTTGAAAGTGAAGCAAGAAGACAATTTTAAGGGACAATAAATAGCAATTAAAAAGCGTGGCCAGAGCTACCTTTCCCAGGGCTCACTCTTCTTTGCTATTTTCAAAGCCTCAGATGGCTCATACAGAGCCTTTTTAAAATGTACATGCTAAACTTCTTAGCTTGGTTCCAAGGAAGCAAACCATTTCTGAGCATGTTAAAAGGTTGTAAAATCCTATAATGTGTGGGCAGCGGGAGGGCACGTTTCCTTTCTGTGTATCATCCCCTGGCTGAGGTCGGCATGAGGCGGGGACTGAGCCTAAGGATTTGCCACCTGTGTGTTTTGTGACCCCCACTGCTTCCTGAAACCAGAACATGAGGTCAAAGGCCCTGCACTAAGGTACTGCCCGAAGCAAGGGCTGCAAAGGCTGGTGGCTCATGTGATGCTCATGTGGGGCATAGCCACTTATTCAATAGCCCTGAATCACCTGGAGAGAAAGTTAATTTCTTTTTCTCTTCCAATCTTTCTGACTGGGTCAAGGAGAGAGTCTCAGTTCGGTGCCAATGTGTCTTTAACAACTAATACTTTTATAATTTTCTTATTAACAAAGAGATTAAGTCTTGGCAAGCAGGAGTATCTGGCTAGAGCTTAAGACCTTTGCTTTATTTGCATTTTTTATTCTTATGCTTGCCTTCTACTTGCAGCAAGCAAGGCTGGCTTTCTATTGTATAGTGATATGTTTCCTTTCATGAGTGAGTTGATTTAAACAAAAATGTGACTTTGTAAATGATAGGAAATATAGTAAAGATTATGACAGAGACACACAGATGAAGATGGGGACGTGCTGGAGAGACAGGAACAAACAAACCTGGTGTTTAAATGCGGGCCCCAGTCACTGGTTGGGAGATGCCTGAACCCCGGCATTGAGAAGCCCAGCTGTGAGAATTGGAGAAGGTCTCCTGGGCACTGTGGGGGTGTCCTCTATTCCCCAGGCCTGCAGAGCCCTAAGAAGGGTCAGTGTGACTCATCTGGGGTTCCTTCTAGGAGTTAGGCCTGCTGGGAGATCAGCAGAGTTATACCTCTTACCAGCTACAAGGATGGGTTTAGAGACAGGCTGGTGCAGATGCCACTCTTGATTCTGCCATTCTGGGCTTTGTGACATTGGGAACATTCTTTAACCTCTCTGAGGCTCGGTTTCTTCATTTGTAAAATGAGGCTAATATGAAGACCTCTCCCATAGGTTGTTTGGATCATGAAGTGAGGTAAGGAAAATAAAAAGCTTAGCAAAGTATCTGGCATGTAGAGTGCATTTAGTAAATATGAGCCATCAAAATTGAATTGAATTGAATTTGGTTTCATTTAAATTAATTAGGTCATGAAGTCAGTGAGTTTTGGAGCCAGAAGTCTCTGTAGCCTCCAAAACCAAGCCCAGTGCCCTGGCAGCATCACCCTAATTGAAGATAATGTCTGACCCAGTGGTCATTTCTAATGCAAGAACAGGACTATTCAACAGCAGGGCACTGGGTAAACTAATGGTGTTGAATCCCTGCCATGGGCACTGTCAGGAAATATCAAAATGATGTTGTAGACAAACATTTAATGTTATGGAGAGACGTTTAGATATACAAATAGGTGAAAAAAGCAGTACACAAAAGAGTATGTACACATTCAGCCATGAAAAGGGATGAAGTACTAAGTCATGCTACAGCACAGATGAACCTTGAAAACCTTATGCTGAGTGAAAGAAGTCAGACTTAAATGACTATATATATATATATATATATATATGCCAAACTATCTACATGTACTGTATACATGTGTCATTTATATATGTACATATATATCAACATGTATGTATATCTTTCTATCTATCTATCTATCTATCTTTCTACCTATCTATCTAATAGAGAGAGAGATACCTGGGGGGATATATCCACAATGGGGTTTATGGGGGATTTTTTCCCCTTTTATTTAATCTATACTTTCTAAAGTTTCTACTATGACTATCCACCACTTCTGGGGAAATAATGAAAACATTTTCTTTCTTTAAGAACAGCTCATTTTGGATTTCAATATTAATCAAATCAGGGCCAAAGTAACTTCCTACCTGGGCTCACATCTCCCAAAGAATAAAATGGGCCTTCCTTTAACCCTTTACCTTATCTGTGCAGAGGGGCACAGCGAACCTCCTGAGGGTAGGGATGGAGGTGAACTTGAAGTTCTCTTTAATGTTTTGGTTCAGGTTGGCCAAGTAGAAACTCTCGTAGAGGCTGCTGTCCTCGTAGGCAATGACATCAAACAGAAGGCAGCTGTCCTCTTCGTAGGCATTGACATGATGAAAGACCACCATTGGGTCTGTGTAAAACTTGGTGGGCACGGGCTTTCCAGTCCTTCGGTCGATAATATGAATGTAAGTCTGAAAGAAGATGCACATCCAGGGGTCAGCTCTCCCTCCACTGGCTCAGCACTGTGGCATCGGGTATGGGACAAGTACCAGCACTGCCATGCACTAGCTCATGACCCTGGAGTGTCCCTTCCCCTTTCCAGCCCTCTGTGTTCCACCTCCAGAGTGCCAGCCATGCAGAGGCATTGAGTAAATGGGGACTGTCAGTTGTTACATTTCGTGATCACCTCTTTCTGATGGAGAGGAAGGAAATTGAGGGGCCAGGGGCTCTACATCACCAAGAGGACAGTGTTTAGGAGAGGCTCCAGAGGGCGCACTTGTTTCCCTCCTTCACTTGATTATGATTCCAGGTGGGTGGCAACATACCAGTTTCCTGGAAATAGCCAAGCTGGGGAGAACTGACCAGGTACCAGACTGCAGGCCTCCCTGGGCTCCATCCACAGCCAGACTGCCAGGCCTCCCTGGGCTCCATCCCCTAAAACACTAAAACCACACTTATCCTTTTGGGTCCCTTCTCCAACCTCCACTTCAGAGCCTACTACCCGGATACAGTTGTCACAGCAACGCCCCTGCCCTGGAGGGCTGAGTGACCTGGTTCCAGTTAAGGAGCCCACGTGGGTATCAGCTCATTAGGCCTCTGCACACACTCTGGGCGTCACAGGCAGTATCACTCTGGGTGGTAATTAGCCATATCTGCAGCCCCAATTGCCTAATACAAATGGAGGGGGGTGTTTCTATCTTTTGGCAGCTTTGGCCCAACCACCCTCCATCTGAAAGGTAGGGCGGGACAAACTACTCCAGGCTGTTCTTTCATCACCTCTTTCCTGCTTGTTTGCTTCTTTCTTACCTTCCCCTGAAATCAAGCTTTGAATGTTAAAGGGGCACAGAGGAGGAAGACTTCGATAGTGTGGTGGTGGGGGTCAGTGTAGGGAGTTGAGTACCAGGGTGATTACTTTAGGCCCTTTTCTTCCCCAGGATCTCAATCCCTGGGTCAGCCACAGGAATTTTCAGAACGTTCTTGAAATGCATTCCGAAGCCCTTCCCAGGACTCTCTGCCCTGCCATCGGGGGCTCTGTCTTCTCCCCATGGGACTCTCCAAGGCCAGAGAGTCCCCAGGGGCCTCAGATTGGAGGCCTTGTGGTCTCTGTAGCTCTTGCCAGTGGGATGCCCTTCAGTGTGTTCAGGGACTTGGCTGTGGAGCAAACCTAACTTCAGCTGGCTTCCCTGCTGCACCTGTGCCCCACTCATTCATTCCACAAATATTTATAGAGGGCCTATGACACATCAGACACTTTCTCAGGAACTGGAGAGACAAATAAAATCAAGCCCCTGCTCTCCTGGAGATTATATTCCAATGGGGGTGAGGCCAACAGCCAATAATCAAATATGTAATGTGTGACGCCAACAGTCAATAATCAAATATGTAATGTGTGAGGCCAACAGCCAATAATCAAATATGTAATGTGTGAAGGTTGATCAGTGCTACTGAGAAAAATGAAGCAGGGCAGGGGATGCAGAAAGCCTGGGGCCAGGGTCTGAAGGCCTCGGGATCAGGGCACCTTAGCTGATACCTAGATTAATTAAAGGAGGAAGCCATCTGGGGGGAGAACATTCTAGGGGACAGAAAATGCAGAGGCCCTGAGGCAGGAACATGTTTGGCTGATTGGAGATACAGGAGATATAGGAGGAGGTGGAGTGAGCAGGAAGCCGGTGGTTGTGATGAGGGCATGTGAGGATTTACAGGCCATGAGTGAGGATCTTATTCCAAGGAAGAAGGGAAATAAATAGAAGGTCTGAGCAGAGGAGGGACCTTACCTAACCCCTTTGTTCCCTCAAACACCTCACTTTCCTCCCTGAGAAGATAGGCCTTAAAGAGTGGCCACCAATGGGACATATATTTGTATAGGTACATAAAAATATATATGGTGCATAAAAAGAGGAATAAAAGGGTATCGAATGGATAGTGATTGTTCCCTCTGGAGCAGGCAGTGGGATAGGAGGGGTAAGAGAGGGGACAGGGAGGTGGGAAGGGGACTTGATATGTTGCTTTCTATACTTGTGTATTATTTGAATAGATGACACAGAGAATTATTCGATATTTTTCACAAGTAAAACAGCAAATAAATACATACATGCACATATACATTGCATACTTACATTCATACACATATTGATACATATACACACATGAATATACATACATATAGACATTATATATACATGGGGACACACACACATACATACATACTTTGAGCACCCAGGTGTACCTACCTTGAAAACGTTTCTGTTATACCATCTGGTGGAACACTTGTCATTATGATGTCTGAATAATCTATCGCATCCCCTCCCTGGCATTACACAGTAGCTACAGGGATGCTGAAAGGGCCTTGTCAGTGGATGGTGGAGGCTGAAGGAGTCCAAATTTTGTTTAGGATGAGGAGCAGCCCCTTTGCTGCTGGGTGAGTGGAGACTGCCTTGGCTGATGAGGGCACCTTGTCCAAGGTCATACTTCCTTTGGGAATGGTCTACTCTAATGACTTATTGATGTGGGGCATAAAGGCCAGGGCTCCCTTGCCTTAACTTGGGACCACTCTGAAGGACCATCCCAGCTTCAGAACTCTCTGAAGGTTGGCTGATGCCTCTGGGAGACTGCATGGTAGCTCACTTCCCCCTTCCCTAAGAAACCTCCTCCGTGCTAACCTCCATCTCTGCTTCTGGGGACACCTTGCTCTGGCTGTCCTCATGCTGGGGTTCTGCAGGCCCAGTAGGGCTGGTGGTCCCAGCCAGGTCTTACCTTTTCCTCCTTGTGGAAGGCCAGGCAGGAAGCCCAGCTCGTTCCCCGGATATATGCAGTCGCCATCTTGAGAATATCCATATTGAAAGGCTGCTCGAGAAAAACGATGTAGCTCTCGGTGATCCCAAAGCTGTGGTAATAGCTTGGGGAGAGGAGAGAGCGGGAGGCAATGGAGCAGAGCACCTCCGTGAGTTCCATTAATCATTAGCCAAATAGACCTGAGAAAAGCAAGGCTCAGGCACAGCGCAGGGCCTCCCCCAGACCATGGCTCCCCCAGACCATGCCACCATTGCCTGCAGCTGAGCCTCTTAAACTGATCCGGTCACTAATAAGAAACTTTGAATAAGAGCAGACAAGTAAACCAGATGAAGGGGCTGCTGTCTGGCTGACACAGGGGCAGAAGCTGAGTCCTTCTGCTCAGGTCCACCCTCTTTGTGAGACCTGGTTCTATAATCTGAAAACACGGAATCACAGAGTCAGGTCTCTGGGTCAGGGGTCCGCAACCACAGCCCAGAGGCTAACCCAGCCTTCACCAGCTTTTGCTTAAAGGTTTATTTGGAATATAACCATGATCCCTTCTTTATGCAGAGTCCATAGCTGTTTTTCTTTCAAGCTACATCAGCACTGTTGAAAAGTTGCGACAAAGTCCACATGTCTGCAAAGCCTCAAATATTTATGTTTGGACCCTTTACAGAAAAAGTTTATTGACCCTTCTGGAGTAATGCTCCTCGAACTTAAATGTGCATACGGATCATCTGGGGATGATGATAAAATGTGAAATTTGACTCAGTCTGTGGGGCTGGGGCCTGAGGTTCTGCATTTCTATCAAGAGCCCAGGTGATGGGCCAGCTTCCCAGGGTTATGCTTTGATGTTTTGCTAAGGACCATCATTTGACATTGTTAATAGAAAAAATATACATTGGCCTCTGCCCCTAGTTCCTGGAACAGAGCTCCCCAAACCCTTGTACTTTTGCTCTTATCACTTAAGAAATTACGAAGTGGCCCATCAACCGGGCACTTGCTAGAAATGCAGAACCTCAGACCCCAGCCCACACACTGAGTCAAATGCCACATTTCATCAAGATCCCCAGATGATCGTATGCATGTTAGTTTGAGAAGCATTGCTCCAGAGCAGGAGCTGACAAAGTTTTTTAGTAAAGGGTCCAAGAGTAAATATTTGAGGCTTTGCAGATATGTGGTTTCTGTTGCAACTATTCAACTAGAAGCATCTCTGGTTCTAATATTTGATCTTTGACCTTGTCCCTGACATGGGGCTCCTAAGACCTTTGTAAATTCCTAAGTGATAAGAGCACTAGGAACATCTTTCGTTCTAATGAGGTGACTCTGGATGGGTTCTTGGATGGGGGCTGATCACCAGAAAGACCAAGCCATGATTGCAAGATTGGAATTTTCAGCCATACCCCCCATCCTCCAGAGTAGGGAGAGGGACTGGAAATGAAGTTAATAATTGATCATGCCTACGTGAGAAAGCCTCCATAAATTCCCAATAGAATGAGGTCCAGAGAGCTTACAGGTGGGCAAACACATCCACCACACTGGGAGGGTGATGCACCCCAACTCCATGGGACAGACCTCGCCCTATATAGCTTTTCATCTGGCTGTTCATCTGTGTCCTTAATCATATCCTTTAATAAACTGGTAAATACAACTAAGTGTTTCTCTGAGTTCTGTGAGCCACTCTAGTGAATTAATCGAATCCAAGGTAGAACTTGTGGGAACCCCCAATTTGTAGCCAAGTCAGATAGAAGTTGTGGTAACCTGGGGGCCTACTACTTGCAATTAGCGCCTGAAGTGGGGTCAGTCTTGTGGGACTGAGCCCTTAACTTGCAGGGTCTGACACTATCAAGTAGATAGCCCTAGTATTGAGTTAATTTATAGGACACCAGCTGGTGTTGCAGAGAATTGCTCGGTGTGGGGAATCCCCACACCACTCCCCAGCTAGTGTGAGAAGTGTCGTGAGTCTGGTAGTAGCGTGAAAGTGAAGGAGACACATGGGAGAGAAGCAGAGAAGGGAACACTGGAGTTTTTCTAAGACAGACATGTATTTCACAGGGTTTCCATGAATTTCTCTTGGCATTGCCCATTCTGAAACACCTGAGAATGAGACTAAGTACCTGTTGTGATGAAGGGCTTTTCCATATATTATAACCAGGAAGGCTGACTGTATGATTCCCATTTTATAGATGGGAAACTGAGGTTTAGTGGAATGATCTATCATTATAGCCAAAGTTACAGGGTTAAGCCAAGAAGGCACAGCCCCTTAGCTACTTCCTGTTATGTTAGGGGTCATAACACTCACAGCATGAAGGCAGTGAACAGAATGAAATCATGGAGTAGGGCCTCACCCTGTGCCCAAACACAGAAGGTGCTCAGTACACGTTTGATTTTCTCATTTCTCTGCAAGGATGAGTCACCCACTGGCCAAAGGCCTCCCCACCCAGGCCTGGGGCTGCTTTCTAATGAGTTATCTGTAAGCGTCCCTACCTTCCTTGTGGCCACCTGTGCACACTGTGAACAGCTGGCTGGTGGGAGGGAGACTGTGGGTTTTGGGTTAGTTCTTTTCCCAACAAAACAAATGAAGCACAAAGCAAACTGTAATGAAAAGCACCCTGGCCTGGCAGGCAGGAGATGGGTGTGATCCCAGGGAAGCATGATGTTGGTGGCTCCTGTAAGCTATGTGACCATGGGTATGTGACCTGATCCCCTGGGCCTCACAGTCCTCCTCTGTAATATGAGGTGGCAAATCTAAATGCCTAGACCATCCCCAGGTCTGACATTCTAGGTTTCCAAGCTAGACCTTAAATCCTTTTATTGGCTTAATTAATAGGAGTTCCATTTAACAAGAATACTCATTGTACCTTCCGACCTCAGGGACTCACTCGCATCTGCCAACAGAGCCTGGTAACTTGCTTAGGAGGTTCTACAGGACTGCGGGGAGAGGGAACAGCAGGGATCACGGACAGAAACCAGTTTTCCTAAACCAGATGGTCAGGACAGGCACCTGAATAGTTCACCCTGTCTCTAGCCACAAACGGAGGCCTGGTCTTGGTGTGGTTCCCAGGAAGGTCCTGGACAAGTAAAGGCTAGGAGCCCTGTCTTCCTCCCCGTCAGGAACATACAATCACAATTGGCCTGGGCTTCCCTCCAGAATCCCAGTGCTAAGCGTAGAAGGTCCAGAAGGCCCAGAGAACAGGGTGGGGATCTGGAGTAGATCCCAGCAGTGCTGAGCTCCCTGAACAACCTTGAGAACCTGGCTTCAGGGGGCTGGGAAGAAAGTGGGTGGCAGAGCCCTGACATACAAAGGTTTGTCAGAAGACTGAAAAAAATAACTGGAAGGAAGGAAAGATGGAAAGAGGGGAAAATACATGGGTGGATGATGGATGGATGGATGGATGATGGATGGATAGATGGATGATAGATGGATAAATTAATGAATTAATGAACTGGAAGCTAAAGAAAGGGAGGTTAGAATAGCAAGGGGATTCACTTCTTCCAAAAGGAAGCAAGTAATACCTCTTTTCTCCTAAAGAAGAAAAGCGAGTTCATATCATTTGAATCATGTAGGAAGGAAAGCATCAGATTGAGTCTTGTATCATCAACAAAAGTCAGCACTCTTCAAAGAAGCCACCCTTGGAATCTGTGCTTCATTATATCCCCAGAATGACCTACCTGGTACTGTAGCAGGGATCTTAAAGAGCACGTATTTTGTCTTTCCCTTGTCCACAATGGCTGTGCCAATGTTGAGAACATTTCCAGCCGCATCATAATGGGGGTGTGCTGTTGCCAGATTCACAGCCACATATTTGCGATAATCAACCTGCAAAATATGATAGGCAATTGGTTTTGAAAAGGGGAGAGGATAAAATCCTGTGAAAAGCTGACAGATTCCAGGTTCTCAGAGATAATGGCTACTTTTGCATATCTCCTTTTAAAGGCAGACTTCACCTTTAAAGAGGATGTTTACTCTTGCACCCTGATATAACTTCCTGGGGGGCCTCCTACAGCAAATCTGTTACAGGGGGCTTAGTGAGCTGTGTGGTTTCTGTGGCAGTTTTTCTGGATCCTATTGCCTGGCCCTGCTGGGGTCCTCAGAGTGGAGACAGGATGCCTCACTGCAAAGAGCTCTGAGCAATGACTTGTGCAGAGAGGCAGCTTTAGTGTTAATTGTGGCCATTCTGCTTAAGTCATTTAAACCCTCACCTTTTGCATTCCACAGAGGCAGAAGTCTCCAGGCCTATTTCATAGGATTATTCTGGGAACAAAGAGGTTAGGAAAACATTTGGTCAAAGCAAAATTCAACTAGCAAGGTTAATAATGATCCTGCTCTGAACAGGCCACAACCTTAGAACAATTGTGGCAGGGGAACCAGCTGTCCACCCTTCCTCCCCCAGAATAGCTCAGCCTCCAGCCAAAAAGTCAGGCAGTGCTTAATTCTCTTCTAGTATTTCCTCTTTGCAGCTTTGTGGAACGCATACATCAGTTGGACCTATGTCGCTTAGCTTAAAAGGAGCTGGACATAATTTCACAGCTAAGAAAAGCACTCCTTTTAACAGATCATTAAAATGTATTACAAAGACACTGAGGCTTTGAATAACCAGCTGGAGAAAATTGAAAGTGGGTCTATTGATTTTTACAAAAGTGTTGACTTGATTCTGCCCAGAAAGGTATCTGCTTGGGCATTTATTTTGTACCCTTGCTCTCTGCCTAATGCCTCCCTCTTCAGGTCAATACAAGGTAGGGCTACTGGGAGTTCTGGGTGTTCCAGTCATCCATTCAGACTCCCACTGAGCTCCCATTCAGTGCAGGACTATGGACTCTGTTATGGGTTGAATTGTGTCTTCCAGAAAGATATGCTGAAATCCTAACTCCTTGTATGTGTATTTGGAAGCAAGTACTTTGCAGATGTATCAAGTTAAAATAAGGTCATGCTGGATTAGGGTGGGGCTTAATCCAGTGATTTATATCCATAGAAGAGATTGGAGTGATGCATACATCTACCGGCCAAGGAACACCAAGAATTGCTGGCAACTACGAAAAGCTGGAGGAGGCAAGAGATGATCCTTCCCTGGAGCCTTCAGAGGGAGCATGGCCTTACTGACACTGTGATTTCAGATTTCCAGCCCCCAGAACCATGAGAGAGTAAATTTTTATTGTTTTAAGCCACCTAGTTTGTAGTATTTGTTATGGTAGTCCTAGGAATGAATACAGACACAAAATGTAAAATACAGTCCCAGCCCTAAGGGAGCTTGGACTCTAGTGTAAGTGCTGTGCTGGAGAAACCCCAGAGCCAGTGGCATTAGGGGAGGGGGTTCCACTCATGAGTTCTTGCAGGCCAGGGGGTCCCTGCCTTGAGTCAGGAAGTGATGCTGGTTGTAGGTTTGCTGATACCTTTTCCAGAGTTTCCAGAGTCTGTGGGTTGATTTTCCTGAAGTAATTGGTCTCTGTGGTTGCATAGAAGTCTTCTCCGCACTTCATGATGTTAATCAGACAGTTGTCTGTGAATTCGGGGATGGTGTGGGACAGGTAGGAGAAAGCTCTGGAGAGGAAAGCAAATCAGCGGGGTCAATGGCTATGTCCACCTAGCTAGAAAGTTCTGCTTGAGATGGTTTTAGTTTTCCTAACTACTTTAAATGTTCTCCTGCAACTGAGGAAGAAAAAATACTGGGTCCCAATAGGTCACTTGAAGAATCTTGAGGACTCAGATATCAAGTTGCCCAAAGATACCACCATGTTGAATCAGCTAAGGAATGAGTCAGCTGGGACAACGCAGCCACCAACTGATCCCTCCTGGGCTCTCAAAAATCCAAAGGTCTCCCACACCAGAGCAGAAAGTGCTGGTGGGTTGTTCTAAAATATTTTAAGAAGCTCTTCCCTGCTTTGGGTAAGAATGTGAGATCACACTGGTTACCTCAAATTTTCCCAGGAACTGAGATTTTTAAAAAAGGAAAGCAAACTAATTTTGAGTTAAGAACTCATAACTAATTTGATCAGAAGGCAAACAAAGCTGGAAGAAAAATCCTGGATCCACGTATTGGTCAGTGCTCCACCTACTGGCAAATAATGTAACAGCAAGGATGCCACACAAGTGGTTTTAAATTAATTCCCTCCCCCTCCACATTTCCTCACCGGCTCTTCCTCCATCTGCAAATGTGAGTTCAGAACAGTTCTGGAAAAGCAAAAGCAATCTTCCATCTCTGGGCCAGTCTACCCTTAACACATTTCATAACTCTTCTACTTCTAAAAAATATCAGGAAGGAGATACTGACAGCAGGCCTGATTCTGTGGCCAACAATTTGATTACCAAATATTTAATACATTCACATGCATCATAGCCTAGATGATTTAAAATGTATACAGCTAAAAATCTTCCCCTATTCTTTCCCCCATTTGTTGGTTTCCCACTTCCTTATGCATCCTTTGAGAGTTTCTTCATGCACAAAGAAGCAAAAATAAATCTAGATTTCTTTCTGCTTTTGTATGTAAAATATAGCATATTATTTGCTCTTATATACTTTGCTTTTTTTCACTCAATATATCTTGGAAATCTTTCCATTCAGTACATAGAAAGCTTTCCCTTTCCTTTTTACTTTTGCCTGGTATTTTCTTGTATAGTTTTACTGTTATTTATTTACCCACTCCTCTGTTGAACATTTGAGATATTTTCAGTTCCTCATTCTAACAAATAATGCAGCCACAAATAACCTTGTATGTTTGTCATTTTGGACACAAACAAGTATATCTCTAGACTGAAGGGAATGTGCATTTGTAATTCTGATAGATAACTCAAAATTGCTCTCCCACCAGCCATGTGGGAGAAGACCTAATAATCCCTCAGGTACTCTTTGCCTCGCTTGCTTTCAGTGATCAAGAATTGCATAGCCTATATGGGCAAAGGCCAGTCATGAGAAGTTTTCATCTACCATAAAGACAACTGACAGAGGAGCAAACACTGGTTGTTTTGACCATCAAGGATATCAAAAAGCATGACCAGATTAAAAATGGACAGTTACTTGGAAAATATGTTTTTGCAAGGGTCTGGATAGGCCATTGTTCCAAACTCTGACACCACAATCCTGTTTGCTTCGATATTGGCGTTGTAGGTGTCACTTCTCAGGTATTTGCTCCTGTAATAGACTTCACCTGAAAGAGAAGAAGCAGAATCATCCCAGGCTGACACCTTTACAGGGCTTTAATATCTATTTCAGGTTTTACTAGGGAAAGGTAATATAGAAGTGGGGATATAATGGTGACTGGGACAGGCAAGAGCTCTATCTCTGCAAGAGCTCCACATAATCCCTGCTCCATCGTCTACCGGCCATGCACTTGACCTTGTGTCAGAGGCAGCCTCAGTTCCCTCTGCTGTGATGTGAGGATCGTTTAAGGCCTGTTAAGTACTTAGCATGTGGTAGGTGCTCAATAAAAGCTGCATACGCTATTGAGATACAGTGGGCAGAGAGGGCAGGGCTTTGGATCTGGGGTTAGTCCCAATCTACGCCCTGTGATTATGACTGTCTCTTCATCTCATTGAACCTCAGTTTCCTCAGCTGGAAGTTGGGGATCATACAGTCTTCCTCAGCTAGGGTTGGCAGTTTTAAATGAAATAGGAAGATACAAGGAGTTTAGGCCACTGCCATACATTGATAAGTGATGGCTGCTGAAATTCTGGATTGTCCAATAAAATTTTAGAGGCAGGAATACTCACCTGGGAGTTGGTGAGGCCACACACACTGGTCTTCAGCCACATGCTACACATAACCTGCTTTGGGGCTACCCTGGCCTCCTCTTGAGCTGGCCTGTCTTTTTCTGGTCACTCTCTCTGAGGATCACCACCCACAGGCATTGGCTAAGGTGCTTTGGGCCCTGTAGTGCTTTACCTAAAATGATGAATTCTGTTTACTTGAAATGTAAACTCTCAGCCCAGGCTGGTTGTTGACAGGCGGCCATTTCCTATAAACGACCAGCCCCAAAGCACCGGAGCACTTGGGGGCCAGAGGAAAATGTGTCTCTGGAATTACTCAAGGCTGACACTCAACTTTGAGGTTGAGATTAAAGAAGAAGCCACCATGCATTCCCTACCGCTCTGCTTGTGGGAGAGTTCCATTAGCCACATTCCTTCTAAAGGGACACAAGTAAACATACTCCTGCTTTAAATCTTCTAGAATTGGGTCTGGTTGGGGGTGAGCGGAAAGCGGGATACACATACACACATATACTTATGTATATATGTATGTAAAAAATTACATGTTATATATAAGTAAACAAATATATATGCCTTCATATGTATATATACATATATGTATATGTGTGTGTATATATGTGTGTATACATATATATTCATTACGTGTAGATTAGCTGTCCCGTGGTGACAATACCATCAATCATAAAGGGTGGACCAAAAGGCTACTTTGGAGCTCTAACAGTTAAAAAAGTCAGCTTTGGAAAGGCTAAATTCTCAAGAGCTCTTTTGTATCTGTCTCTTGGAATTTACATGTTCAAATCCTCATGGGACAACAACTTTGCCTCTTATTAGAAAATCATCGAATAAACTGCTAAGGGAAACTTAGGTTCACACATCTCTGTGCCTGCTTTATAAAAACATTTCATTTTAAAATCATTTTAAATTTATAGAATAGAGCACTCCTGTACACCCTTCGCCCAGCTTCCCCTTCTCCACTCTGCCTCTTGTATTCAAATCTGTGTTAGTTTTTTAAAGCATTAACTTCTCTGGCCTCTGCTGAAGGTCACAAGCCATTTTTCTGTCTTTTTGCTTTCTTGTTCCAAAGTATTATTCGTGTGGCACTAACTTGGGTTCTCCATGCTATCTGTACACTACAATCATCTGGTGCTTTAAAAAAATTACAGAAGCCTGAGTCCCACCCCCACGGCACCGTGATGAGTTTGGTCTTGGGTGGGACTGGGCAGCCAGGCTGGAGGTCCACAGTGGAGGTTTTTTTCAAACCTTGGTATGCTCAGGGTCATCTAGGAAATGTGTGAGAAACACAGATGCTCTGTTCTTAATCTTCAGGATTTTGATTCACTCAAGCCCTGGGGGATGAGAAGCTGAAGTGTGTGTGTGTCAGGACTTGCAGCTTTAATATGTATCCCTGCGGAATCTGGTGTAAGAGGTCCACAAATCAACTTTTCAGAAATATGGGCTTTGTGTTCTCTTCAAATCCAAGAACACTGCTTGCCCTCTTGAATCATGTATAGCAGTACTCAGCATTTTTAATTTATATCTCCACTGTTAGACAATGGGCAGCCTTTGAGAGTTCTAGAAGAGAAGAGAGATGAAGCCAGGATATGCTACACCAACACCAACAATCTGGCAGCCTCGAGAGGATAGGGCTGGAGAGGCGAGAAAAAGTCAGTAGCTGGCAAGATGGGGTAATGGGGGAAGAATTCCATAATGGTTAGGACTTGAGATTCTGGGTTTAGAGAGTGTTGGGTTTATATCTGACCACCACTTCTTAACTGTGTGCATTTGGACAAGTTCCTTGGCCTCTCTGGGCCTTAGATTCTCATCTGCAAAATTGAAATAGTAACAGTAGTACCTACCTCAGGAGTTATAGTGAGGGCTGAGGTGTGGATGGGTATGAAGCACTTAGGCCAGTAGCCAGCAAGTACTTCCAGTAGAGAGTATTAAAGAGATGGGTTGGGAAAGTGTCATTTCCTTCTACCAAAACAATCTTTACCTCATTTGTGTCATTTTGGCTCCATAAAGAGTTTCAAAGTGCCCCTCTGGGTAATGCCCCATACTAGGTGATAGATACAACAATTTGAAAAGAGACCCTGCACTCTGGGGTCTCCCACCCTATGCTGAAGAATGGCAAATTGATCATTGCAAAGCAGAGTAAGGCATGCACCCTCAACACATGCCCAGGTTCAAGAGCAGGACAGGGGAAGAGTGAGTAATTGGGTGTAGCCTCCATACTTCCCATTTTCCAGCCACCTTCAGATTATGAATAGAATTGAGTCTTTCATGCTACTGTACTGTGTGTGTGTGTGTTTTTTCTGTGTATTATGATGTTTTGACATCGTAAAAAACCTTTCTAGCTGGGGAAAGACTGTTGCTCCCTGGACTAGCCAATTCTTAGAAGTAACAAAGGACTCAGCATGTCTTTGACATGCAAACTAACCAATCCAGAGTCAGATCTTCTCTCTCTGGTCCATACACCTCAGGAGGCAATATCCTCTGCCATAATCATCGGAGGGCTAGGTGCCAGGCAACTAGAGACCACCACTATAGCTCAAAGCCCACTGAAATTATTTACACGAGCCAGTTCTAAGGCGTTTACCCTGCCCTGTCTTGCCTTTCCCTCGAAACCCCAATAAAGGCTGTGGCCTAAGTGCTTCCCCTGCTCCTGTCTTTTGCCTCCTGACCACCTTGGTGTTCTCCCATGTGGCCTTGCATGATGTGCTGTGCCTCCTGTCCCTAGGACCTGTAAATATAATAGCCATTGTTTTCCTGAGCCTCTCTGTGTCTCCTCTTGTGGTCACACCCACCTGACCATCTCATAAAAGGATACAAAATAGCTATTTACCTTTGACAATGAATTTTTAGTTCAAAAACCTACTAGAAGCCTTTAGAAAATCTAAAAAACATAGGATAACTTTGGTCATTTGCCTATTTATCCCATTCAAGGATTTGGGTGGTTGGTGGCCATACTTCTGCAAGATAGCCACGGCTCAGTCATCCCCTTGCTGGTTCCCTTGTCCTTGGAGGTCTCTATGGAAGGGTGCCAGAGCCACTGCTTGCTAAGTCATGAGGGGTCACTTTAGCAACCTACCATTTCTCAGGTAGTTGGTGAGTGAGTGAATGTGTGTGTGTGTGTGTGTGTGTGTGTGTGTGTGTGTGTGTGTGTGTTGTGGTGAAGATAGAGGGTGACTGCTGCACACTGTTCAGACAACATGAGTTGAGATCCCAACCCTACCTCAGTGACCTTGGATAAGTTACTCATTATCACTAATGTTTCCATTTATGCATCTGCTAAGAGGGGACAAGAATACCTCCCATATAGCATTAATGCGAGCACCAGAAATGGACCATGAAGGACCTGGCAACTCAAGTGAAGCAGAGCCTCATGGAAAGGAAGCCCCCTTTTATACACCTCATCCAGAACAACATTTATTTTCCACGGAATCATTGGTGACTTCCATTTAGAAAAGGAGAGGATTGTTAAGGCTTATGGCTGTCAGGAAATATGAAACTACCCACTCTGTAGCTGAGTCTCAGTAAAATCTGTAAGTTTTTGCAAACTCAGAGCTCATGGTTTTCACATATGGTATCTCCATTCTTAAATGTTTGAGCAAGTTGCTGGCATAGAATCTACACTCAAAAAATAATTGCTGACCAGTCTGAAAGAAATAATAGTTATGTAAAAATAATAGCTAATGTTTATTGAGCACATATTATTTTTCAGACACAGAAAGCTTTACAGACATTAATTCCTTTAAATTCCACAGCAATTCTATGAGATATGCTACTGATATCTCCATTTTACAGATGGGAGACGGAGACACAGAAAGGGTCAGTAACTTGGCCGAGGTCACAAAGCTTAGATACATGTTAACTAGGATGGTGGAGCTGGGATTCAAACCCAGTGATGATGATGGTATTTTTTAATCTACTGAGCACTTACCAGGTGTCAGGCCCTTGCTATATATCTATACTTCTAATCATCACGACTGCCCTTCAGGAAGGATGATTAAGCTCTTTTTACTGATGAGAAAACTGAGACCAAGTGAGGTGACGTGACCACAGTTTGCTCATGCTAAAACACAGGGGTTAAAGAAAAATTTCACCAAGCTGAAGTTCTTGGACACAAATTTGCCCACCGTGTGACCCTGAGCCTGCTAAAGCCTTATGCAATCCATCCTGGACCTCTTTGAGAACTCGGCTCAGCCGTTGTGACGTAAACCAGCTCAAAGGCCAACAGCAAAGAGTTTATAATCCAATTCTTGAGCCAGTCACCTAAACTCCAAATTTTACCTTATTTGTGGCACCTTCTATTTTCTCTCTATATTGGTGTCCATTCAGGAGAGCCACTGAACATACTGATTGAGTATGGCTCTCCTTTGCCCTTGTTCTTTTCAGCTCTGTACTCTATTTTGATTCAATGTGTGATTGATTCTAAAGCCTTCAGTCTTTCACCTGCCCTTGCTTGCCTTATTGAGAATGCATATTATTGTGCAAGTTGAACCCTGGTCACCTTTCCAGGGAAGTTTGTGCTTATTGTGGGCTGAATAACCACCTTCCCAAGATGTCCAAGTCTTAATCCCTGGAATCTGTGAATATAGTACCTGACAAGGCAGAAGAGACTTTATAGATGGGATTAAATGAAGGATTTTGAGAAGGGAGATGATCTTGGATTATCTGGGTGGGCCTAATGTCATCACAAAGGTCCTTATAAGAGGGAAACAGGAAGGTTAGAATCAGAGATACATGATAGAAGCAGAGAGAGAGAGACAGAGGGAAACAGAGAAAGAGAGAGAGTGATCGATTGATTGATTGCTGGCTTTGAAGATGGAGATGGGGCCACAAGCCAAGGTATGCAGGCAGCTTCCAGAAACTAGATAAGGCAGAAAATGGATTATCTCCTAGAACCTCCAGAAGGAATGCAGCCCTGCCAACACCTCGATTTTGGCCCAGGGAAACCCATTTCAGATTCCCAACTTCCAGACCTGTAAAAGAATAAATTTGTGCTGTTTTAAGTTACTAAATTTGTGATTATTACAGCAGCAACAGCAAACTAATATAGCACTCTTACCATCTCTAATTGTGAAGCTGTGGAGCAAGGCTAGGCCATCAAACCAATGGTTGTATCTAGTCTTCCCCACCGTGTGCATCCCAGGCCCATTGCGAAGAAGGATTCCCTGCAGCCATGTTGGAATCTTGCCTGTTAAGAGAAAGAATGATTAGTTTTCATGTCTAAACCAAAAAGCTAGAAGAAATGGCCATGGAGAGTAATTGAGGCCATAGCCCCAATATCACTCACCACATCCATTCATTTACTCAGCAGTCATTTCCAGAAAGCGTATAATACACCTGGTGTTGTGCTAGCACTGAGGATACCAAGATGAATAGGCATCATCCCTGCCCTCAGATTGCTCACCATCCATGAGAGACAGAGAGAGGAATCAACAGACACTCAAAATACACTGTGGAAAAGCCAATGCAATAGACTCAGCCAAAGGCCGCATGGACAGGACCTCACCCTGAGGTTGGATGGAGGAAGAACAGGAGGGTGAGGACTGCTTCCTGGAGGATGTGACCTGGATGAGTCTTGAGGGAAAGTAGGTATTTGCCTCACAAAGGCATGAGGAAAGAACTTTCTAGAGCTATGCTGGCTCTGTGGTATGGTAGTCACCAGCCCCATATGGTGACTGAACACTTAAAATGTGGCCAGTCCAAACTGAGATGTGCTATAAGTAAGTGTAAAATACACACCAGATTTCAAAGACTAAGTGTGGAAAAAAAAATGTAAAATATTTCATTAGCAATTTTAAAAATATTGATTACATGTTAAACTGATAATGTTTTGGATATGTTTGGTGTGCTAAATAAAATATACTATTAAAATTAATTTCATCTTTTTATTCTTATTTTTTTGAATGTGGCTACTAGAAAATTTAAAATTACACATGCGGCAGACATTATATTTCTATTGGACAGCACTACTCTAAAGATAGGGTGCTGTAGCTGACGCTGTTGGTGCCCTGCTCACCTCCTCTTGCCATTCACCTCTCCCTGAAGGCTGCTTTCTGCAAATACCTGCAGCTCTCTGCATGAGGGCTTTGCCTGTGTTGGAAAATTAATGCCCCTGGAATTAGCTCTCACACATTGTTGGGTAGGGAATTGGGGCGGGGGGGAGGTCAAATGCCACCACTTCCTTTCCCTGAGCTGGGACAATGTGGGGCAATTTTTACACTATTCCCAGAGGATTCAGCTCTGATGGCTCCCAGTGGTCAGTGTCTGGACAATAACCCTTTTAATAGCTTCCCTCCCAGTGTTTCTTGGGATCAAGTCCCAAATAAACTACTTATACCTGCATTCTTATCTCTGGAGGAACCCAAACCAAGAGAGCAAAGATCAGTTCAAAGACCAGGAGTTGTATTAGCTGTTTAGTAAGACTCTACTGTAATTTCGAGCTAGGACATCATAAGCATTGAGGCTGGAGAGTTAAGCAGAGGCCAAGCGACGAAGATTAACAAGAGCACATCTCAAGGATTTTGATTTGATGCTCAGAAAAATGGGACACCTTTGCCAGTTATAACAGGGAAAATAGAATCAGATATCTTTTCCTGAAAAATTTTTTTTATTGAGAAAACTCACATAACATAAAATCCACCTTTTTAAAGTATACGGTTCAGGGTTTTTTGGTATATACAATGTTGTACAACTACCACCACTATCTAATTCCAGAACATTTGCATCACCCCCAAAAGAAGCTCTGTACCGACCCATTAACAGTCACTCTCCATTTCCCCAGCCCCAGTCCCTAGCAACCACTAATCTACTTTCTTCTCGAAAGCTTGCCTCTTCTGGACATCTTGTATCAATGAAATATGCTCAGATTTGGAGGTTTCAAAATTTGTCTCTGGCTAGATGGAGTGTGAAGTGCGGACAGGAGGAGGAGCCAAGGGGAGGCAGGAAGACGAGAAAGAAGACCAGGGTGGCAGCAGTGGGGACAGAGAAAAACTGTGGATCAAAGAGACTTTGACGACATAGAACTGATAGGACTTAGAGTTTGACTAAATATGGGGTAAAGGGGAAGGGAATGCTTAAAAAAAATGCCAGCCAAGTCTTTTACCTTGGGAAACGTAATAAATGGGAAACCTATTTACAGAGACCCAAGATGCAGGAGGAGTAGGTTGGCAGAGCGGGGAGAGGTGAATTGGAGCATAAGTTAATGCCATAGATATAAGAAAAAGAACATTTATTGAGCACTCTGCAATTTCCAAGGCGATTTTTCAGTTGCAAAACTCCAATCTGACTTTCCTCACAAAGAACGCTCACTGTTGCCTTCTCCTTGTGAAAAATGTCCAGTCCGTCTTTCCGAAGATGAACCTGCCCGTGAGCCTGAGCTGACCCACTTGTTCTTAGAATACTGAGCAAGCTGCGCGCTGGGGACCCAAGAGTTCAGACCCAGTCACTGCCTGTAGAGTCTAAACAAGATGGCACCAGGAAAGTGACACTGCAGAAGAGAAGGAGAAAGCCAGAGAAATAAATGAACGAGACACAAAGCCCGCTGAAGGAATGTTTCTGCGGTGGTTCCCTGTCGTCTCTTTTACTGGCTCTGCAGTACTCCATGCCAAAATCGCCCCCGTGGTACCTGAGAGGAAATCACGTGCAGGAGTGAGAGCTTATCCCTACTTCTCCATCTTGAAATTAATTCAAGACGCACACATTTGCACACATATAGCACACAGTTGGAACGGGCCACATTTCGCAGAATAATCCCACTGTATATCTGCCAAGTGCAGCATTTCCAGGACTTTTCTCCTGGAAATAGAACAACTCTCTCTACTTGGAAACTGAGTTACAATGTATAAAAGCGCACCTCGATTTTCACAGAGAACGTGTCTGGATGATGGGTCATTTTCTCCCATATGCTGTTTTCCAGATTTTCCACAATGAATTTACAAGTATTACTTTTATAAGCAGAAAACGCATACCTCTAAATATAAAAGAAGAGCCAATCATTTATACAAAAAGCTCACCTGTCACTCTGGCCTTTACAGGCTCCGGTTGTTCTTTCTTATCTCTGCTAAATAGTACATCCATCGCACAGGGCGCCGAGCAAGAGTGATATTGACAGTGAACAGACGCTCCTCCGTGTTCAAGGCAACTGCTCCTTGGCTCCTCCTTTCCTTTCCTTCATGCTCTCCTGCAGCTTCCTTCCTTTACAAATATCTCCCTCCCTCCTGGTGCCACTTGTTTCTCCCTTTGCCTTTCTCTCTCCAAGGGCCTGCTATTTCTTTGTATGCCAGTGGGGAAGCTGCACGGTTATTTATGTTTGATCAAAGATCAATTCCCCAGCCATGTGTCCTAGTTAATCTTTAATCCTCTTATTGTGTTCCCAAATCTTTCTTTCCAGTTCCACTTTTGGTATAATCAAGAAAAGCTAGTTTCTTGCTGAGTTTAGATTGGCAGGATAATTTAGCCGTACATTCTGCTTTGGTATGCTGTCAGAAATAATGCAACCTAGGAGGTAGGGGTGGTTTATAATCAGAGAAACTGTCAGGACCATCAAAGATTCCTGGAATTAGCGGAGCCTAGAGTGTCATCAATCAAATGAGTTCCTGCTGCACAGTATGGAAACTTCTGTAGAGATGGGAAAGGTTTTTTTTGTTTTGTTTTGTTTTGTTTTGTTTTATTAAAGGTCCCTGAGCCTCCTACCCCCAACCCCAAAATCATATATAAAGAGCAATTCAATTCATTATATTTCTCTTTTGGAGAAGTAAACATAAAATACTTCATGTACCCATTTAAACAATAAACATAGGAAACCAAAAAAATCTATTTAATAACTATGAGGAATAGGTGATAATTCCAGTGACATCAGAAGCATGGTGGCATGAGGGATCTCCCCTGATCTCTCCCCTTGAAATTACAGCAAGCTGAACAACCTCAATCCAACAGACAACAGATAACACTCAGCCTTGTACATAGACACATATGAGAGATCTACACATCAGAGCATCTGAAGGTGGGCGAATCTGGTGATAAAGAGAGGAGGAAAGGGAGAGAAGCAGGGACTGTGGGAGAGACCAGTGCTGCATATGCAGCCCCGAGCTCCTGGCAAGAAGCAGGCAGTGGGGGTTAGGTGGCGATTCTCATTCTTTGAAGACTGGAACACTCTTGCCTGAGTGATCAGCATATTCCTTGTTGCAGAGCCCGGTGATTAGGGAAGAGAGCAGGGCAGACACTGAAAACGGAGGGATGACAGCTGTGTCTTAGCAACTGCCATTGCCAAGCAGAAGGCTCAGTCACAGAGCCTGGCCACCTCTCTAACCATCTTGGAGGCCGCCCCTTCCCCCCTCCGCCAGACTTGGGTGCCACCTACTGGAAATAAAACAACAACAACAACGAAAGAAAACTCTTACCTACCTGCTAAAGAGAGATCGCTATATAATCAAGTTTCTTTAAGAAAAAAAAGAAAAAATAAGCAGGACATATTCCCATTAACACCTAGGTGAAGAAATAGTCCATCAAACATCATGAACAACCAAGGTGATAAGGAAGCTTAGGAAGAAAATGAAAAATCTCCAGAAAATAAGCTTAAAGTTATATAAATATGTGATTTAGATGACAGAGAATTCAACATTGCACTTCTGAAAAAGCTCAATGATAATGCAAGAAAATTCTGATCAACAGTTGAATGAATTTAGGAAGAAAAGAACCAAATAAGCCATATGGAGATGGAGAACTCAATAAAAGAGCTGAAGAATGAAACAGCAAGCTTAGGAAATAGAGCTGATCAGATGGAGGAAAGAATTAGTGATATTGAAGACAAATCTGGAAATGACACAGATGAAAGAAGAGAGACTTAAGAGTGAAAAAAAAAAAAAAAAAAGAAAGAACTCTACAAGAACCATCTGACACCACCAGAAAAGGCAATATAAGAGTAATGCATATACCAGAAGGAGAAGAGAGGGAGAAGGGAACAGAAAGCATTTTCAAACAAGTTGTTGATGAGAATTTCCCAAACCTACGGAAAGAACTGAATTCTCGAATCCAAGAAGCAAACATAACACCTAATCATCTCAATCCAAAAAGGCCTTTTCCAAGACACATTATACTAAAACTGTCAAAAATTAATGACAAAGAAAGAATTCTCAAGGCAGCCAGGAAAAAGGAGACAATAACCTATAAAGGAAAACCCATTAGATTATCATCAGACTTTTCAGCAGAGACTTTACAAGCTAGGAAGAAATAGAACAAAATATTCAAACTATTGAAAGAGAAAAATTACCAGCCAAGAATAATATATCCAGCAAGGTTCCCCTTGAGATATGAAGGAGAAATAAAGACTTTTTCAGACATATAGAAGCTGAGAGAATTTTCCACCATAAAGCCTGCATAAGAAACACTAAAGGTCATTCTACCTGAAACAAAAAGACAAAAAAAAAAAAGAAACACAAAACAATGAGTAGGATGATTAGCAGATAGAAACGGGAAACTGCAACTCTTATTAAGAACAAGGTATTATATACTTAAATATACACAATGGTTAAAGGTCAAAAAACACTTCAAAAAGAGAAGAGGACATTAATTACTGCAACCTAGAAATGAACTCACAGCATAAATAGGGATAATTTGAGGCAACAAAAACAGAAAAGGGGAAGAAGTAAAGGTGTAAATCTGCCAAGGGGATTGGAGATGATGAAAGCAGAAGAAAAAGAACTACTGTATACATGAAAATATCCTTTACATAAACTTAATAGTAACCACACCAAAAAAAAAAAAAAAATCCAGAACTGAGACACATAGCATAAAGCAAAACAAGAGGGAAGAGAAGGAAAAACCATACAACACCACCATAATAACAGACAGAATAACAGACAGAATCACAAGGACAAAGAAACAATGGAGACATCGCGCTACAAGAAAACAAAAGATAAAATGGCTATAGGAAAACCTCATATTTCAATAATCGCCCTAAATGTAAATGGACTGAACCCATCAATAAAATGGTACAGAGTAGCAGATTGGATCAAAAAACAAAACCCAACCATACACTACCTTAAAGATACTCATCTTAATTGCAAAGACAAAATATAGACTCAAAGTGAAAGGGTAGAAAACAATACTCTAAACAAATGGCATCCAGAGAAAAATAGGTGTAGCTGTACTTATATCTAATGAATCAGACTTCAAGATAAAGGTAACAGGAGACAAAAATGGACACTTCATAATGATAAAGGGGACAATATATCAAGAAGACATAATCCTTACCAAAGATATGCTCCCAACCAGGGAGCACCAAAATATATAAAGCTACTACTAACAGAACTAAAGGGCGAAACTGATAAAAACACAATTATAATAGGATACCTAAATACCTCACTGTCAGCTATGTATAGATCATCCCAACAGAAAATCAATTTAAAAAAAATCAACCTTAAATGACACATTAAACCAATTGGGCATAATTGATATTCACAGGGCCTTTCATCCCCAAACACTAGATTACACATTCTTCTCTAGTACACATGGAACATTCTCAAGGATAGACCACATGTTGGGACACTAAACTAGCCTCAACAAAGATTGAAAGATTGAAGACTGAAATCATACCAAGCGTTTTCTCTGACCATAACACTTTGAAATTGGAGATCAACTGCAAAAGAAAGTGGGATGCACCAGAAATACATGGAGATTAAAAAACATGCTACTAAAGAATGACTGGGTCATAGAAGAAATAAAAGGCGAGATCAAGAGATACATAGAAACAAACGAGAATGAAAATACAACATATCAAAATTTTGGGGATACAGAGGAAGCCGGAATAAGAGGAAAGTTCATACCATTACAGGCCTATCTCAAGAAATAAGAAAAATCCCAAATAACCTAATATTATATCTTAAAAAACTAGAGGAAGAACAAATGAAGGTCAAAGTCAGCAGAAGGAAGGAAATAATAAAAATTAGAGCAGAATTAAATGAAATTGAGAACAAAAAGACAATAGAAAACATTAATGCAACAAAGAGCTAGTTCTTTGAAAAGATTAATAAAGTTGACAAACCCTTGGTTAGACTCACTAAGGAAAAAAGAGAAAGGACACAAATAAATCAGAAAAGAAAGAGGAAGAGTTATGACAGATACCACCAAAACACGAAGCATCTTAAAAGAATGCTATGAAAAATTATATGCCACCAAATTCAATAACCTAGAAGAAATGGACAAATTCTTAGAAATATACAACTTTTATAGACTGAATCACGAAGAACTGAAAATTTTAAATAGACCAATCAACAGTAAAGAAATCGAAAGGGCCTTTTGAGCCCTTGAGCCCTTTGAGCCATGCTTCTCTTGCTCGGGCCTGCTTCCATGTCTAGAAGTGTACTTTCCCTTCTAATAAAACTTTTCTTTTCTGCTGTAAAATAAAAAAAGAAATTGAAAGAACCATCAAAAACCTCGCAAAAAGTAAAAGTCCAGGACCAGATGGCTTCACTAGTAAATTCTATCAAATATTCAAAGATGATTTAATACCTGTTTTTCTCAAACTTCTCCAAAAAAAATTGAAGAAGCAATACTTCCTAACTCATTTTATAAGGCCAACATTACCCTGCTACCAAAACATGGCAAAGATAACACAAAAAAGGAAAACTACAGACCAATATCTCTGATAAATATAAATGTAAAAATCCTAAACAAAATACTAGCAAATCGAATATGACAATACATTAAAAAGATAATACATTATGATCAAGTGGGTTTCATTCCAGGGGCACAGGGATGGTTTAACATAAGCAAATCAATTGATGTGATACACCACATAAATAAAGGATAAAAACCATATGATCATATCAATGGATGCAGAAAAAGCACTTGACAAGATATAGCATCAATTTATGATTAAAACACTTAATAAAATGAGTATAAAAGGAAAATACTTCAACATAATAAAGGCCATATATGACAAACTCTCAGCTAACGCCATACTTAATGGTGAAAACTAAAACCTTCCCTCTAAGATCAGGAATAAGACAAGGCTGTCTCCTATCACCACTCTTATTCAATATAGTGTTGGAAGTCCTAGCTAGAGCAACCAGGCAAGA